GTCTCTAACCCTTAGTATCTTTAGTTGTTAATTTACTATTTTAATTTGTTAGTTAATTAGTTAGACATAAGAATCTTAATATTTATAAGTTAGGAATTGTTCAAGCTTGTCTTCTTGGTAATAGTGAACAATTGTAGCTAAACCGACTCCGGACTTTTAGATCGGGTTATATTTGCAGCGACTGCTTATCCTTTTTAGGACTAGAGTTGGGCGTGATCACGTATCACAAAGTCTTAATATTCTCTAAAGTCTAAATATCCTAACAATAACAACACAAACCATAACAAACTACTACTCATTATATTCCGTCTCTTTCTCATCATAAGATTGAGTCATGTGCTTTTTTATGAACTTATCCACTTTAGCAAAGTTAGCTTCGGCTGTTTCACACCGTTGCTTCAGCATTTTAATCTACTTTAATTCGCATTGCTTCCATTGCTTCCTGCCATATCTATCCATATTAAAGTCATATAATCGAATTGTACTCACAAGGCCTGATATATCATGTGTTGTTCAAATGTTAAGTCAGTTTATGCATGAAAATTCCACCTGATGCTGTCTTGCATGTTGCAAGATACATTAAGGGAAAATTGGTTTCCCCATTAATCTTGGAAGTGCTGTTGTAACTAAATTAGTTACCAGTTTAGGAGCTAGTTACAATTAAATAAATGTATACAATTAGTCAAAGCTCTTAGTATATGTATGTGTTTGATGCATGTTCTACTATGTGTTTTTGAAAGTCAAGTCCTTGTACTATCTCTAATTTTTCCGAAAGAGTAGTTTCTGTACGTAAAAACAGTATCTTGAACCTTCCAGAAAGAGAATTTAATTGCCAGTACGTATCCTTCTAAGTTAATGAACTTAGTTTCCTCAAGTAAAAAGCATACTTACAATTAATTAAAGGCAAGGAAAATTCTTGATTCCTACTTGAGGTTGAGGTATTAGCATGGCAAACCCAGAAAAGGCTAAGTCTATTGGCTTTGAAGTACTAGCAAAAGCCACTTTTTAACTATAAAGACTAATTATTTACGTAAAGGAGCCAGGGTTAGGCCAGCATTAGTGGAGGTTCAAGTGCTTAACTCGTATTAGTAAAGTATAGCAAGATACTTGTACTTTACTATTGTTAAAAATCTACCTTTTCTAAGTACCACGTGCCATGTTCATACTAAATATTTCCTTTTTCAACAGCATTATTGAAAAAATTAATTAAATAAATAAATTAATAATCTTTCTAACAGTAAGTATTTTGATGCGATAGTCATACACTTCAACGTGATACTAAAACACGCATAAGTCTTGAGTTCAAATTTCATCGTCACCCACTATAAAGAAAGATTTTTTTACATGTTTTGACTCATAATTAAATAAACAAAAGTATATTTTACCCGACAAAAAATCAACTTTCACCTTCTATCTTGGTAGGATGGACGGTCACGCATTTAGCCCCCAAGTAACCCCTAGTTGGATAATGGTGCTTGTCACGATCCCAATTCCGGTCGTGATGGCACCCAACACTAATGCTAGCCAAGCCTGACCAATTAATTACTCTCAACCCAATTACGCAATCCGTTAATAAATAATACGATTAAAATAGCAAATATCAAGGTTCCAATCCGAATCTAAATAAAATAGTACGGAAAATAATAACGAATATCCAAACATTCCCCAATAGATCTGGAGTCACGAGTCTAGAGCCTCTAGATGTAACAGAGTAATATATCCATAGTAATAAAGAAGTCTAGGATATGGAAAGATAAATGAAATAAAGGGGAGGAGTCGGGTCCTGCGGACGTCAGGCGGCTACCTCAACAACTCCTGAAAATAAACTTCACGAAAACAGCAAACAGCTCCACTAAGTCTCCGGAGCACCTGAATCTGCACACATGGTGCAGGGAGTAAAGTGAGTACTTCCAACTCAGTAAGTAATAAACATATATAATGGCTGAAAGTAAGAAATCCCGAAATATTACAATATAAAGCTATGATCAACGATTCAGCACGCTAAACGATGAAACAACAGCAGACAATGAAAATTAAGACCAACAGATATAAAATGCATGAATGCAATGCAATGTACATGACCGCTGCGGCGCGCAGCCCGATCCATTTGGGTATCCGCGCTCACTGTGGGGGTTCAGACTCTGGAGGGGCTCCTACAGCCCAAGCGCAATATCATCGTAGCATTCGCTGCGGCGTGCAGCCCGATCCACACTCAGTCCAGATATATACATATATGCATGCAAGCCACTCGGGCACAGCCAGATTATTCATTTTAGTTTCAATTATTAGGAATTATAGAGCTAAGTGTATAAACCTTTATTTATTTATTAAACATTTCGAGGCAGTGTCTAACTCATGACTGATATCATGAAATATGCTAAACCTCATGGAAGCCGTGATAAGGATCCCTGAAGGATGCAAATGATAGGCACAAAGCCCCAAACATATTCATAAAATCCAAGTAGGATGATTACCAAACAATTTCTAGTCGAGAACACAGTACGAACATCAATCGGAACGGATTAGGTCAAAATCCCAGTCACAATCGACCCCGCACTCGTCATAGAGTACGTGTCTCGCCTCAATATAGCGTCACAGTGTGATATACCGGGGTTTCAAACCCTCAGGTCATCATCTACATCTATTACTCACCTCAAGCCGGCCACAAGTCTAGCTCGCTATGCCTTTGCCTTTCGAATCAACCTCTTCGCATGCCGAATCTGATTAAAACCACAACGAATACATTACAATAGGCTAAAGAAACATAACCCAATCTAAAAGACTCGAAAAACACCAAAATTCACTAAGTTGGCAAAACCCGAGCCCCGGGCCTACTTCTCGAAAAATTACGGAATTTACATCACTGGATTCTTCGTTTCGCCACGAGTCTACACATACCAATTTTACCAAAATCGGAGTTCAAATGCCCTTTCAAAATCCATTTTTACATCACAACTTTCCAAGCCCTAGCTTGACCCGTTTTTGATGAATTTTCCACAATTTACATGTAATTTCTACCATGAACTCGAATAATTAGGCCAAGAGACTTACCTCCAATTGATTCTCAGTCAAAACCCTCGAAAATCCTCGCCCAAAGCTCTCCAAGTCGCTTTAAAATGGTGGAAACTACCTCTTGTTCGCGGATGAAATATAATATTTTAAACCCTTCTGTCAACAGCGATTTTCGCTTATGCGGTCCCGCTTCCGCTTATGCGGGACCGCTTCTGCGGCCAAAAATCCGCTTATGTGGTCTTCACTTAAAAACCCGGACTTCGCTTATGCGACTCAAACTCCGCTTCTGCGGTTCCCTCAAAACCGCTTCTGCGGTACAATGTCCGCTTATGCGGACCCGCTGAAGCGACCAACTTCCGCTTATGCGGAACTACCCTAACCCACACCTGGCCGCTTCTGCGATCTCTCACCCGCTTCTGCGGAACCGCTTCTGCGGTCCATTTCCGCAGAAGCGGAAATACCAGATGACAGCAGCAACAGACCTGCAACACACCTCAAAACCTCTCGTTCAACCACCCGAATTCACCCCGAGGCTCCCGGGACCTCAACCAAAAATGCCAATACATCCTAAAACCTCATTCAAACTTGTTCTCATCCTTAAAACACATCAACCAACGCTAAAACCATCAAATCACATCGAATTCAAGCCTAAGTTTTTTAAACACTTCCGAATTACGCATTCGATCAAAAACCCGACCAAAACACCTCCGAATGACCTGAAATTTTGCACACATATCAAAAATGACCTAACGGAGCTACTGCAACTCTCGGAACTCCATTCCGACCCTCGGATCAAAATCTCACCTATCCACCGGAATTCGCCAAAATGCCAACTTTGCCAATTCAAGCCTAATTCTACTCCGGACTTCCAAAATCACTTCCGATCGCACTCCTAAGTCACAAATCACCTCCCAAAGCTAACCGAATCACCGGAATTCACATCCGAGCCTTCTAACTAATAAGTCAATATTTGGTTGACTTTTTCCAAACCAACCCTTCCTTAAAGAGACTAAGCGTCTCATTTCTGTCAATTATTTTGCCCAAATTTGCGTATACGTTGTTGAAGGAATGACTTAAAATTATCTTATTTTTTCATACGGAGTATAACATGCTGTCCAAATTTGGATTGAAGTTGTTGAAAGAATCTCTTAAAATTATGTTTGTGTTTATACCAAGTATACTGTGCTGTCAAATTTGCATTTTAGTTGTTGAAGAATGTCTAAATCATCCCGTCAGAGCCTTATTCATGATAGGATTTACTGAAAATCATTGGATATTTCTTTAATCCTTGTTCCATAAATTCATTAGAGATGATTCTAAAGCATCTCGACGGAGTTATTGAAGGGTTCTTTGGAAGAACTAATTATTTTTGTTGTATGAAATTGGGCATTTTTTTTATGTTATCGGCTCTCTCTCAGTTTTTAAAATAATGGGTTGCATCTTATAATTACATATGCTCCAAACTTATAATTACATGTAGGTTTTATGACATTGCTGATGAATTCGCAGAAGTTGGTTCTTTATTTTCATTGAATATTGGTCGTTATAGGTCAATTGTGTGTATTCGTCTTGTAGAGTAGATTATGTTTTGGAATTGGATTTGATTGCATATTATAATTGGAACAAAAGGATTCTCAATATCTGGTCGTGATTGTATTGTGAAATTTTCGTGTGAAATAAGAATTCGCTAACTTTCTCCTTAACTAAATTTTCTGAGTACATTGGGAAGAAATACGTGATTCTCTTTTTCTGCCCACTAGACTTCACATTTGTTTGCCAGACAGGTTAGCTTGTATCCTAAATTCACTCAGCTGCTACTTTAACTTTCTTATAATGAAGTTGAACTGATTACGGGTGTTTCTTAATGTATTATTTCCCTATTATCTATTCCTGCTACTGTAGAGATCACTGTTTTCAGTGATCGTTATGAAGAATTTCAGAAGGTGAACACAAAAATATTGGGTGTCTCTGTAGACAGTGTGGTAGAATTTCTTTCCTTCAAAAATTTCTTCTAAAATAATTGGTTGATTACTTTTTGTTTTGTGCATATGATATGTTTGCACCAATGTGATATAGTAGTGTAAATGTCATTTTCAATAGAATACCTTTCGAAGAGTTAGGATACCTAAATGGTTTGTGCCTTGTCAGATTGTGCTGCTGCTCTTCTACAGCCCGTTTACCTTATTAAAAAGGCCCTTTTCACATGTTTTGAACTTTGTTCTATATGGTCTTAGATGAAGAAGTGGGTTGCTCTAGTGGTGAACACCCTCCACTTCCAACCAAGAGGTTGTGAGTTTGAGTCACCCCAATAGCAATGTGGGGAGTTCTTGGAGGGAGGGATGCCGAGGGTCTATCGATGTGTCACCGCTTGCTGCTGATTAGCCGGTGATCGAGCAACAACTGTCCAGTACTCTCCAGCTATATTCTTTACTGTTCCATCAACCATACCTATCTTCTTTGGCCCATCTTAGAATTAGAGCTATTCCTCAAGCCAACTGTTGCAATTTGCTGCTGCTCCATCACCTAAATCGTAATAGTTTCTTCTCATTTATCTAGCTGGCACTTTTTCTGGTGCTTTGCTAACAATAATATTGGCTACTAAAACTTTCTGACTTCCCCCTTATATTCAGTAGCCTAGATCAGAACCTTGTATGTGTGTTTTCTTGGCTTCAAATTTAAAGCAAAGTCAGCCTTGATGTCAATAATACCAGTAACAGATAAAAAAACAACTGATTGAAAAATCTTGAAAATCAAGAACCAAACAGGACTAATAAGACTTCAATTTGTTTCTATTTTTGGGAAAGGTACTGCTACCCTTTTTTTACTTAAACCAGATGTTTCATTTGCTATATTTAATATTATCACTACCTCAAATTCATGTAGACCTCTTTTAACAAGAATCTGCTAATTTCTTCTCTTGTGTGGTCAGCCCCTCCTTTTGGTTGTTTTGTTGCCGACGACATCATGAATAAAGTTTGCTGGATGTTTGAAACTTGTATCATGTTGCCAGATCGGTCAAACAAATCATTGGAGGGGATATCATGTTGGGATGTATTCAAACCAACCCCAACTATGCCATTGTTTTTTTTAACCTCTTGAAGAGACAGTCCTTTCGCTGGATTATGCAAAAACCCAGGCAGAACTTGCAAAGGATTCATGCTCTCCAGAATCTTAGCTCCAATTGTAGTAAGATTAACATTAGCAGGTGCAATAGAGTTACCGAAAACTACCACAAGCTGCCCATTCTTATCTGTTGAATCCTTCTCTATGTTGGCACTTGTTAGCTGATCCTCCACCATCAGAACATCATAAGCATTTGTACTACAAAAATGCTTGTCACCAGCAGATCGATTTGGAGAAAGAATTCCAGCTGATGCCTTCTATTTGCGTGTTATTGAACTCCAGCCTTCCTCTCTATTCACATCCACTCCTTCCGTGCTACTAGAGTTTGCAGCCTGTTCCAGTATCTCATTAGGATTAGTGGATGCATCTAGCACAATCCTCATGTATAGTTAAATTTCCAGTGGGTCTAGGAGATAGCACGATTTGCCCAGATTTCACTGAAGCCTTGTACTCCTGCTTAGCAGATTCTAGGATCGCAGTTTCCTGCATAAGAGCCATTTTTACACCAGCAGTGGCATGATCGGCTATAGGTTTTTGTTGTTGATTACCACCTGTATTTACTGCCTTAACACTTTTAGGTGCTGCACTATCCAAAGCAACAACACTTTCAACATCTTTCCCCTCATCATGCACACCAGTACCTTTTAAAATTGCTGGGTTTTCAGCTATTTCAATTGCACCAGTAGGTCGATCGCACACCCCAGTTTTCTTCTCCTGCACAACTATTTTTTGATGATCATTCCTCTACTCCTGCCTAGTATTAATGTGCCCATCAACTGTAGTAGCAACCTTAGCTTGAACACGATCAACACCAGGGCCCTTAGCAATTTGCTTTTCCCCCTCCAACTCTTGAGAAACATTCTTCACAGCTGTAGCTTCAGAACCTGCTGGTTTTTCAGCACTTACAGCAGTGGTGCACGTGCACTTACTGCTTTGTACTCGGACTGTATACTTTTATATGTAATATACAGAGAAACTTTTTAAGATTATGAATATATATTAAGTGGTGTAGCCTCTGTCTTTCAACCCTGAATCTGCCTTCGCCAACATCACATAAAGTGTTGTTAGTGGAGATACCGGGGCAGGGAGAAAACACAGAAGGAACGGAATGTGGGCAAGCTGCTAACTTTCCATTTCGTTGTTCCTGTGAAATCATTAGTTATTAGGTAACAGCATTAGCAGTGCTTAAGTTTTGTGAAGTTGTCAGCGAGACCTTTTGGGAAAAGTTTTCTGGAAAGCTTTGTGTTGTTGCATGTCAAGACTAAATTCGATTATTTTGTCTCTTCAACAGATTGAATGAAGCTGTCATGCATTTCGGTGAGAGTATCAAGGAAATTATTAACGAAGAATTTGAAGATGGCATGTAAGTCACTCCACTTTACATACTAATTAAATACGTGTGCTTATTTTACCGATTCAAAAGAAATTTAGTTATAGATACAACCTTTTCTTGTATGTAGCTCCATGCATGTGTTTAGATTCATACTCTGGAAATGCTCTCTGCCTTTAAACTTCAGGAGCGCAGATCTTGTGAACTCTTATGAATTGCCTCTGATAATTTACTACTCTGACTTGCGTAACTTCGTCTCTGGTTTATTGCAAGTCATGTTTCATAAGAAGTCATTCAAAGATACATTCGAACTTGCACAGCGTGTTTAGAGTCAACAAGCTGCTAGGCAATAATGTTTTTTGATCTCTGGATAATGAACTAGATAACGAGAAGATTATAATCCCTTCTTCCTTATTTGTCGTTTGTTTAGCTTTAGTGCTTTTTGCTAAGGGGATTAGGAATGATGCCCGATTCCTTAGGATTAAAATTACCTCCCTCTAGCACTCACCCGCCAGTATGCTTTCTTGTTCACAAACTCAAGCTCTCTAACCCTGCCTCATCCCCATTACCCTCTACTTGATTGAATGGATTACTGGTGAAAAAGAAAAGTACATTGCAATTTCACAGCTAATTGATGAGTCAAATGTAAGAAAAGTTTTTTCCGGCTCCTCCACCTTGCGTTTATTAATCATCATTAAGATGCCCTTTGTGTATTCTCTTTCATAATCTTATTATAATCCTGTGCTCTTTATAGTGACTTTATCTTGTCTGGTGAATCAGACTACCTCTCTACATAACTAGATTGTTTATACAACTAGCATGAACAATTCACAACTGTTGCATACATGTTGTGTCTAAACAGTACGAGATTGTAAATGGGTAGCAATTTATAAACGATAAACAAGAGCAGAGGCTATTATGAGCCATGGCCACATTTCGAAGAGAGGAGCTAAAAGAATTTCTATTGCCTTTTTCTGTTTAGTTTGATAGCATGCATCTTAAAGTACTAACCATTAACACTCTCTTTATTTGGCTTGATTTACTTATCTTGTTTTAACCATCTTTAATTCTGAGTCTTTGACATACTTTGTCTAGTTTCTATTAGTTAAAATGTGAAACTATTATCGGGCTGTAAGTGTTGTATTGCTCTAGGAGTGTATTCATTCTTTAGCTCTAATAATTTTCTTAGATCATGCCCTATTTTACTCTATAAAGCGTACCTTTATAGTAACCTAATTTTATCCTTTTGGTTTCTTCCGCATGCCCTAAGTTAAATTGTTAATTTGTGCTTTTGTATTTTCCTGTTTCTTCCTGTATCTTTTTAATTTGTAATGTATCACCATTAGACGTTGCAACCCTCGGTGCACTTCTCTTGAAATATGGCCTATAACAATGATGGAGTTCTCGCTAGTGCAGTTAATGTGAAAAACTGACATTCTTGTATTATTTCAGATCTTTGTAATTGTGCAAAGCGAATGTGACTAATGTGTACGTGGATATAGTTTTTGTTGAAATGGGAGCTTTCTTGTCGAAATTCTGTGTCAGTATCTTTAAGATGTTTGAAGACTTGTGACAGGAAAAATTTGATATTTTCCATCAGTGTCGCATCGCTGTGTCCTTGGAGGACATTAACATAATTAGTTGTTTATTCTTTGTTACTAAACTGGCATAAATTTGTTATTTTAACAGATCAAAAACTTGAAGTCCGAAGAACCTATCCTTGAAGAAAGTGTAGAGCAAGTTGAAGTACAAGAGGTTTTTGGTTCGTCAGCGATGGTTTAAAGACACTGTCTTATATACATATATATGCTACAATTTTACTTTTTCTTTTTTCTTTTAGGAATTATTAAAAATGATGATTAACTCATCTCACTTTATGCTTCCAGTTGTCTTCTGGATGGGCTTGCATTATTTTTACTTTTCATTGTTTTAGTAAGATGGGTTTCTTATAATTTGGATTGGTTTCTGGTAAATATGATACTTTAGTTCTTTGTATTAACAAGATATCAAGTATTTGGTTTATTTTCCAATGTTGTTGAGTGTGTATGAAAATATATAAATAATTATTACAATTCATGTAATTTAAATTTTTATTATATTTATTACATTTTCATATTAGAGAAGAAAATGTGGTCATTAAAACTCTTCAACGACAGGTTTGTCAAATAGATAAATGACTATTAACGAAGAGAATTTTGGTTGTTAAAAGTAATTATACAATTAACGAAGGGAATATCAGTCGCTAAAAGCACTCGAATTGACTTAATACATTGTTGTCGTCAAAGACTTTTAACGACCGGATAACAAATTAGCGAGGGGAAAATCCTGTCGCTAAAAAGCATGTTTAACGACCAAATATTATGTTGTCGCTAAAGATCCTTTAACGACCGGATTGTAAACCGGTTGTTAACTTTTAACGTCGGGACTTTTAACGATCGGTGATGACCGAATTTTTTCCGGTCGTTATCAACTTATAACGACCGGAATTGGGCTTTTAACGACCAGATTTCCCCTCGCTAAAACCCCATTTTCTTGTAGTGTTCGAGTCTTCAAATCAAGGTATATCTTAGGCTTACCCCCATCTCATTAGAGAAACGTACATCTCTATGCTTCAGGAACATGTGTTTAAACTTAAGTTCTCCTTTTCACACACTTTCTTAAATACAAACACCCTATATCCCATTTCAGAAGCTCTTTTCAAGTATACATGCATTTATGTTATTTTCCTCTATAAATTCATACCCCTTTAAAACTACACCCTCCCTTTATAAGAATTATATCCTAATATACGGTAAGCCATTTATTTAGAATACTAGTTAAGGCATAGTATAAATAATTAATTCTAGATCTAGTCTAAGTCATATGGAGCTACCTCAGGTAGATTTTAAGGGTGCCTAACACCTTCCCCTCAGAAGAACAACAAGCCTTACCTATAATCTTACCGGTTAGCAGGCTAATAAAGAATATGACTTAGTAATTAAATAGGTACCCTAGTGTACCTTTAAATATTATGTGGCGACTCTCTTTTATCAACAACAGAGAAACTACAAGTTGAATCTTTTTTTGACTAGTGCGAAATAGGGTGCAACAATTACCTTTCAAATTTTTGTTGCGGCGTACAACCCACTCCCCAAACAATTTAAATCAACAATAGCAATTCAACAACCAAAATTTACAAAAATTCTACATCAAGAGAGTAAATGTACGAGGTAAATGGAGAACCACATAATACTCAAAGAGTCTATAACTTTTCGGTTGTCTCAACTTCAAAAACTCAGTAGTATCTACCAATTAACAATTCATACAAGTGTAACTACGCTATAGAAGGCAAAAAATATTACAAATAAATAGGACAAGTAAGGTATAAGACAATCAAATATGCAAGTACATAAAGTAGAGAGAATTAGCAATTTAAGTATGAAATCATGGAAGAGATAGATAGTTTAATATATGGATAACTAAATGATAAGTTACAATTATAGCATGGAAGCCAAACGAGCTCATATTGATTAAGGCACGTAGCAAGATATACTAAGGAGAAACGAAAACATGGAAGCAAGTATCACAATGGCGCATACACACTCGTCACCTCGCATATACGCCGTTTCACACGTAATTCGCATAACATATAACTCAAGGGTTCCTAATTCCCTCAAATCAAGGTTAAATCAAACACTTACCTCACTCCGCAATCAAGTCGTAGCACAACCACAACCTTGCCTTTTGAACAAGCCTCCAAACCAACCAAATCTAGCAAATTATTGACCAAACGATTCAAAATAAGATTTAGAAACTAGCCACGAATGAAAGAGGTTCAATTTAGATCATTTTTCAAAAAGTAAACAAAAGTCAACCCCGGGCTTGCTTGGTCAAAATCGAGATTCAATCCAAAATTCGATTACCCATTTACTCCCGAGCTTGGTTATGTAATTTATTTTTAAATACGACCTCAATTCGAGGTCTAAATCTCAATTTTACAAAATTTTTAATTCTACCCAAATTCCTAATTTCTACCATGAAATTCTTAAATTTGATGTTAAAATCTCATGAAAATGTAATGGGTAATTGAAAAGAAAAAGATTAAATTCACTTACCAATGAATTTAGGAAGAACAATCTCTTGGAAAATCGCCTCTATGGTATTTAGGGTGGAAAAGATTTGAGAAATCAGCTAAGTCCCGTTTTTCCCCTCTTTTACCCAGCTGCAGATGTCGCAATTGCGATATTTTGTTCGCAATTGCGAACATCGCAATTGTGAGAAGGGGTTGCAAATGCAAAGCCTGTCTCAGACACATAGAGGTCAAAAATGCGACATTTGGTTAGCAATTCCAGACCACACAAGCAACAGAGAATGCATCAGCTATCTCCAAAGTCCAAAATCAATCTGAAATACGTCCGAAACTCATCTGAGTCCCTCAGGCTCCAAACCAAAGATGCACACAAATTTAATAACATCGTACGAACTTGCTTGCTCAATAAATCACCAAAATAACATCTAAATCTACGAATCAATCCCAAAAACGAATGTACTTTCAAAGTGAAACTCAAGAGCACTAGAATCACGTTTAAGTATCCAAGTCATGTCAAATAAATTCCGAACTAAACCAAATTTTGCAAACAAGTTTCAAATAGCAATACGGAACTATTTCAAATTTTAAATTAAAAATCTGAACCCGTTAGCTAAGAAGTCAACTTTTGGTCAAACCTTGAAATTCTTCAACTTCGAAAAATGCTAGTTTTCGGCAAAATGAGTCAAAACAAGTTAGGGACTTCTGAATTAAATTCTGGGCATACGCTCAAGTCTATAATCACGATACGAACTCACCAGGACCGTTAAAATAATGATCCGAGTCTGTTTACTAAAATGTTGATCGTAGTCAACTCAAGTCATTTAAAAGATAAAAATTCACATTTTCTTTGATTTTTCATATAAACATTTTCCGAAATAAAAGACGGACTGCGTTAGCAAATCGAGGAACATTAAACGAAGCTGTTTACCTTGAAAATGGTAATTACAATTAGATTTGATTTTGTGGTTCTAAAAATATGTGATTTATTTTTATGCTAGTTGTTAGGCAGTAGATGCTAAGTGTGAGACTAGAAAATAAGATAAGAGCTTGAAGGTAGTGTGACAAACAAACCGAGTGGCCGAGAATTGGGGCTTCGAGCTGGCTTATACGGGGCCTCGAGGTCGAGCTAAGCGTTAGACTGTTAACTGCCGATGAAGGACTAACAGTTCTAAGAGCCTTGGTGATGGCTCTTTATGATCAATAATGAGCAATAAATGAAGACCAATCAATAAAACACAACAAGTGTAAGCAATGTAATAAATGTAAGTAATGAAATCAAGGGAGAATATGTTTAATTTAGAGAGCAGAGAATGTTCTTGTTCTTGTATTGAACATCATCTATCTACAAAATGAAAAGGGTCCCCTTTATATAGGAGGGAAATCCCAACATGGTACATGTATAATTATTACAAAGAAACATAGCTGGTATAGCTATTTCCTAGTCTGGTACAGGCTAGTACTATTCTTGCAGATATTGTCAGCTTTGGTAACGTGTCTTGGGAACTTCCTGCTTTTCCATGGTAGCTACCGAATTGTGCTGCCCCGAGGTCGAGCATAGGGGACCCCCGGGGTTGAACTTCGAATTGTACCTCGAGGCTTCTGGAGGCGGGCTGTGGAATGTCATAACGGTCACAAAATCAGGCTCTCCTATTTTGGCCGTCTACAGATAGTCCCCGCGTTTCTTAAAGTGAAAACGATAAGAAACGGTCTTGAATTTTTGCCTCTTCGATACTTCCATCGCGTCATCAGTTTATGCCTTGTCGAGCAATTGATGTGAAGAACAGGGTGCTCAAAGGTCGCGTCCATACATCCCTTAAAAAGCCTTTGAATTAATTACAGCGGTTGGCTATCTTTTGACCTGTACACGCTTGGCCTCTATAAATACTTCTTCTTCCGCCCCTTATTTTCCAACGTATTCCCAAGCCTTCAAAAGAGATCTCATTCTCTCTCTTGCGTTCTTTCTCTGATTACAATTTCACTTCTGAAATCTTTTAACAAGAATGGCGAAGTCTTCCACCTCTGTCCCTCAGGAAGATGTGCCTTCCTCTTTTTTACGCTCGTCTAAGGGCAAAACAACATTACCTCCTCATGTTAGGGAATGCTTCCCAGGGGCCTTTGAAACGACCTCCGTTTTTAAGACCGAGAAACCTTCTTCAAAGCCGAGACGATGTGAACCTATGTCCCGATATATCAGTTTAGTGGTAGACACCGAGAAGGTGAAGACCGACTGCCACTGGGGGGACGTGGTGCTAGAGGATATTCCCTCTCGAGGGGAAGACATAACGACATACAAGGCTGACTTTCTCAGTGTGTATACCTACACATTTACTCTTGGCCCGGTGGAGCCATCCTTGCCTTCAATAGACACGTGATCCTCGACTTCTGTGAACGATATCGAGTGACTTTCTGCCAAATTCATCCGTCATTCTGGCGTCTACTTTACATGACCAGACATTATGCGAACTTGATTATGGGATGCCCTTCACCCTCGACCACCTAATCAGAATGTCAGTCCCCGACTCTTCCGTGGGGGTCTGACTAAGCTCCAACTTCGAGCCTCGAGAGTCCTTTTTGCTTGTATTGATGAGGTTAGAAATAGAGGGTGGATGAGCCATTTCATCCGAGTTAGGACTTCGGACCTGATTCCAGTGGAGAGGATGCCGTTCCCTGAAAGGTGGAACATGAAACGTATACGCTAATTAAATATTCTCTTTTCCTTTTGGATAAATCCTCCTATGAACTGAATTCCTCCGCTGATGCAGCTATCGCAGTGTACCCTAGTGCGGTTAAGGACCTCTCAGGCTGGGTTAGCCAGCTAGATTCGATTTGCCCATACGTTGACCGCGTGTGGCGTGATCCGTCTAGGGCTCGATGGGAAGCCAAGGACCATGGTGAGCCTTTACTTTTGTTGTAATTGAATCTCCCAACAGAACTATCATTGATTGCATCCTCA